CTAGCCTGACCCCAAGGGMAGGCAGGCATCATTCCCAGCCAGGAAGCAGTCCTTGGCAGAGCTGATTTCCGAATGCAGATATGGCCGGAGCATCCCTGCTCCTCTTTGTTTCTGCAGCCCCCATGTTTCCCCTGGTGTGCCATGGAGGGGCATTGCCTTTACCCTGCCACATGGGTCTGCAGAGAGTCATCCCTCAACTCTGCACCCGGCAAAAACMTTTCCCCAGCTCCTGTGGCTGTCCCCACCCCTCATCCATCACCTGCTGGGGAATCCGAGCAGACACAAARGGGATTCCCAGCCCCACAGTCCCCTGCAGCCTCTCTGACCCTGCCACCAGTGCCCCACATCATGCACATGACCAAAACCCCAGGAAAGGCCACCATGAGAGAGGTGTGGGTCCTCACCCAAAGCACCTCAGTGCAGCTCTAGCAGAATTTCTGAAGCACTGGCAGCTTCATGCTTACAGCACATTCTCACCTGGCAGCACGAGCTGCSGGATGCGGATGGTGTCACCCTGCTGCACATGGGGGAGGACACAGCTCCCAGATGCTTCAGTCCTGCTTTGCTGGTTATCTTGAGAGCACTCCTGACAGGCCCAGCCTCCAGGAATCTGAGATGGGGACTGAAGCACAGCACGGGGAGGGAGGATGGCTGCTGCAGACTGTCCCCAGTCAGCCATGCCATGCGGAGGCAGGAAGAGTTTGTTTGGTGGGAGCCACCCCAAGAACCCTACATGGAAGGGCAACAACCACTCCCAGAACCTGCACTGGAAAGCTGGAATCAGGCACACATCMAGGCAAAGACATGACAGCCTCAGACACGGAGTCCCATCCATTCCTTGGGGCCCTCTGGACAAGAGCAGGGGTCAGTAAACGCTCCTGGATCCATCAATCTCAACTTCAGGAGTGAAGCAGCCACGTCTGTGTTTAACTTGTGTTCTGCTGCTTGCAGAGGTTGTGTGTTTTACCAAGGGACAGGGAAGCCTCAAGCCACAGGGGTGCACCAGAGCCCACGCCATCCATGTTGTCACTGCCTGTGCCCTGCTGTCCCCAGGCTCCAGCACATCCCAGCACAAGGGCTGGCAGGGAGCCCAGCTGGAAAGGGCCAGAAGGGCTTTCTACCTGCCCAGCTCGTGAATCAGTGGCTGTCACGATCCCTCAMTGGCTTGCTGCCCTGAGCCACAGGCTGCAGACTGGCTCCTGACAGCGCCCTCAGTTTCTATTCCCCACTCACACTCTTCCTTTCATTTTCCAGAGCTTTCTCTGTGGCTATAAATAGCCTTGTGAGGGATTTGSCAGCCCTCATTGAAGAAGAGGCAAAAATCTCTTCCTGAAGGACCTGGCCAGGACTCTCCCCTGAGTGTAAATGATACCAAACAATGTGCCTGGGAGGAAACTGAGGCAGGAAGGGTAGAAGAAGCTGTAAGGAGCAGGGCCCCAGAGCTCTTTGTGGAGGGAATGCAGTTGCCATCAGTTAATTAATGCTTTGTTGGGGTTGCCATTGGGACCCCCACTGTCARGGACCCATGGTGCTCCTCTCTGAGCACTGCTGAGCTCTGGGGCCACAGGCTTGCCACAGAAGAAGGCAGCATGCTGTGAATGGCCAGAAGTCCTGTTGGGATCTGCAAGGAGAGCTTTAAATGGGGTGATTTACTACTTCTCACTTGGTACCTCAGCACTGGAACAGCTGCCATCCCCTCCAACCACCCAGAGGTCTTCATTCCAGAAATAAAACCTTGTCCTGAAAAAAATGTCCTTTTCCCTCAGGTGAAATCACCCATCTGGGGGTCCCCAGGGAGATCTGCATCCATTATCTTTACCCTTGGCTGGTGTTGGGAGCTGCTGATCCTGCAGAGGCTGGGCTTCTACCCTTCCACAGAAGGACAGACACAGCTGAGATGACACACTTTTCTCTTGACATTGCCTAATTGGCTTGATTTGTCCATATTAAACATTTACCATCCACAGTTAGCTCCCTCATTAGCTGTGACACATCATGTTTAACCACACAGCAACATCACAGCACYGCCAGGGCCAGCAGCAAACACTCGGGGAACTTCTGCACGAGGATAATACACAGACCATGAAAAAATCTGGGTCTGAATTCAAACCYAAACCAGCCTGGAAATACTACTGAGCTGGTAGAAGACCTTTGACAAGTGTGCATATACAGCCTTTATCCCTGCCTCCCTTATTTACACACAGCACAATGGCTTGCCTGTGGACCCGGGGCACTTGCAAAGAGGAATGAACACACATTTGGTTTGCAAACCGCAGCGTAATTAATTCCCAGAAAAGCTTCTGGGCTTCACTCTGTGGCTGTAGGAGTTCAAGGTGCTACCCAGGGTTAACCAGATGCCTCTCCTGCACGCCCAGGGTGCTCAGTCCAACCAGAAAAGGGCAAGGGATGGGTCTTCCAGGACCAGGGAGAAGCCAGGGAGGTGTGAAAGGAAAAATAGTTTAAGAAATGACATAAAAAGCAAGATGAGGAGCATGCCAGGGTCCTGCTGCCCCCAGCCCCACTATGAACCAGCCTCAGGCCCGTCAMCCCCAGGGCTTTTCCCTGAGGGTTTTCTCAGCCTCCTCTCACAGGGATGGGCATTATTTCTCCAAAGGCTGTTTTTGAAGGCARTGTTTGCCATCTAGTGGGAAAACAGTGCCTGTGTACCGCACTAGCCGGCGGAAGGATGGGCGTTGCGGTTGTTTTGGCAGTGGCTGGGGGATMCACGCCCCCTTGCCCATCGGTGGGCAGCGGCTCCCAGCGGGGAGTTCCGGGGACGAAGGGAATTGCGAAAGGCGGTGCTGGTTCAGCTTCCCGCAGGCTCGCCAGGCTCTCTGCCTGAGYGTGGATCCCTATCCCCAGCCCTCCGAGTGCTCCCTGGCTCAGCTGCTGCTCAGCCTAAGCGGGGAGCTCAAAGGAGGGCTCTGTAGCAGGGGAAAAAGCACCACGCTGTGGGTAAACRGTGCCTTTCAGGTCAGCAAACCTCTGGGGATCGGTGCCTTCCMGACTGGCATCCTTCCAGGCACATCTCTTCCAGGTTAGATCCTCCTGGGGATCRGTGCCCTCCGGGCTGGCGTCTCCAGCACTCCCCTTGCAGTCAGCACCTTCCAAGTCAGCATCCTTTCTGGCATCACTGCCTTCCAGGTCAGCCTATTTCTGGTGATCAGTATTTTCCAAGTTAGCTTTCCCCTGGGAATCAGTGCTTTGAAGACCTGCAGATCATCCTGGGGATCAGGAGATCAGAACAGAGGCTGTCATCATCCCAGGAGGGGATCCCAGGCAGATCTGGGACACATTTAGCAYCTTAGCACCACAAATCCATCAGCACAGAGGTGCCAGTGCCCAGCGTTGATGTGGGGCTCAGCTGCTCCCATATCTGGTGGATCTTCCAGCGAAGAACAAAGATTGGGAGCTGCTGGCATGTGTTGTGACCCTGCAAAGCCACAGGAAACTCCCAGAGGCACATTTACCTCGGGTCCATCATATTCAGGACGCAGAGARAGGCCCGGGATGTACAGAGCTCTGTCCACCCAGTGCCTGCTCCGTGCAGTCCTGGAAACATGGGGAGCACCGGCGTGCCCCAGATGGTTCCAAAGTTCCTGCAGAGGGCTGGGCCATGCTGTCCATAATTTCTATTTGTTTTTTCTGCCCATGCAGACAAAGCAGCTGATGTGACAGTGGATGAAGCGGCAGCTGGTGGGGGGAGAGCAGGTAGAGAGGCTGCTCAGGGCAACTCCCCAAAATTGTCCTGCTCTGTTTTGGTCCCTGCTGCTCTGAAGGCAGCTGGAGGAGAAGATGGAGCTCCTSCCATGGGGAAATCAGGAGATATTTCCCTGAGCAAGTGACATGGCAGCACTGAGGAAGGACAATCCTCACTGCACAGCAGAAATGTGTGCTTGGGAGCACACAGCATGTGTCCCCCAGTGCCACCACACTCCAGGGCAGGGATACAAAACACTGAGATTCTTCCTTACACAACAGGACTGCTTCCAGTGCCAAAATTAAAAAGAAAAAAAAAAAAAAAGGAAAAGCTAGCAGGAAAATCGTGGGCTGCTGCTGCTGCTGCTCAGAGCAGGGAGCAGCCATTGCTACCATGAGCAGCAGAGCTTGGGCAGAGCTGTGCTGCTGGTTGCTACCTCCCAGCATTGCTGTGGCCACATGCCTGGCATTTCCCATCTGTGAAAGACCAGAGACAACCTGGAGGCAGGGAAGGGGCAGCCTCAGCAAGCAAATAACAAAACAACCCATTTATGGGRGGAGAAGCTGACAAGGCAGCAGCAAGAGATGTCTCAGGTCTCTTTCTTCTCCACATCTGTTTGGGTGTCAGCACATCTGGCCTGGCAGGTGATGTCTCCCCTCCTCTGTTCCAGGAAAGATGGGCAAGGAGTTTTCAGGCAGCTAGAAAGGGATGAAGAAGAGGGAATATGGGGAATCTCAGGGGTCTCTGGTGAGTGCTTGAACTCTCTGGCAAGTTCCCAGGCAGAGGGATCCTCATGCAGGTGAGATGAAAGCCATGGTGAGGGTGAATGCTCAGCACTGCATTTTCAAAGCGTTTATGTTTGGATTCACTGTGTCTCTGGGCATGCTCCCTGCTGCTCCTACTCTCTCCGTGTCTGAGATGGARGTGTGAGATGGAAGCAGCTCCTGAGGGGGATGGAATTCCTCTGGAGATGCCCCACATTCTCCCCAATACTCTCAGGATCTCCACTGGTGATAATTCAGGCTCTGTCTCCTCATGTCAGCTGTGATGCCCCTTAGTGAGGACTGGGAGCACSGGCCACACCCAAAACTTGGTCCCAAAACCAGTTCTTGCTCTGCCCATGGGCATCTCACCCTTCTTCAGTCACCCCCTGCACAGTGATGCTTAGGGTGGTATCTGAGTGTCCAAACCACTCATCCATAAATCCATCTATCCCCTCCTCCCTCTGACAACCATTCCATGCATCCATCTATACATYAGCTCATCTCCTTCCCTCAATCCAGGCATCCTTCCCTCCCTGCTGAACCTCTGTGTATGCACCCTTTGCTCTCTACATCACCTCATGACACGTACAGATGTGCATTTCATGGCCTGTGTTTCCCACATTCTGCTGAAGCTGCTTTTACTTCTTTCCTTGGCTCGGGATTTGGCGGAGAAGGAAGCAGAAGCAGCCATGAGAGGTAAATTGAGACTGTTTTCCTTCCCAGTCCTGTGCAACTCGCCTYCTCCCCTGCAAAATGCGGGCTGATCCTGGCAGCAAGGCAGGGAGAGGAGGAGGCTAGTCCTGAGGGCTAGCTCAGAAATTTGGCAGGGCTGGTGGCAGTCAAACAGCCCAGGCAGCGCTGCACAACCGCCCACAACCAGTGCCCTGCTGCAAAGGCTTTTGCCAAGGCTGCAGATTTTCCCAAGCAAGCCCCTGCCTGAGACATGATCTGGATGGAGACAATGGACATGGACCTCTCCTCATCTCGGTGCTGGGGACCTTCCCTGGTGTGTACCACTGCCTGATGGAAATTTTTTAGGCCCCAGGCCATGCTGTCCTGCGCTTTTTTCCTGCTGGGCTTGGGCTGGTCCCTGTTCCATGCCAGGCAGCTGGACCCATCCCTGCTCCTTGTGGACGCACTCCATGGACTGCTTTGACTTGGCACATCCTCAGCATCTCCAGGCCTGGCTTGTACCAGCTYCCCTGGCGATCTTGGCATAGAATCCACCCTGGGGAGGGTGGGATATGGCAGCAAAAGCAAATTAGGATGTGTCTCTGCCTACTTGGGGCAGGGTGCRTCCAGGCAGGGCTCCAGCCTGCAGCAGGAAGCCTCCTGCGTGAGCCACCAGAGAGCCCAAGCCGTGGAGGAAGTGCCCTGGCCCCACAGAGGGACAGGGAGGTGCCGGCACTGGGACTGCTCTCATGGTCCCTTCCTGTTTTTCTTCTCCTCAGTTTGAAGGCAAAGTTGATTTTGGCATCTGGATCCCTCTCCTTTATTCCAGATTGCTGCTCACCCCAGCCCTCCCCTTGCATCTTCCCTGGCCCTGTTTGCCCACATCCAGCACCAGTRCATCCTCCCCTGGGGCAACTGGGAGTGCAGCACCCAGCACCAGCCATCTTTATTCCTTAAAGTACGGAATTTGCTGCTTCCTTTGGGTCCCCAAGGCCCGTGTGTCACATTTACAGGCTGCAGGGGCAGGGRGCTGAGCCATGGGGCATCCCAGCAGGCAGTCACAGCACAGGCAGCAGGACTTTGTGGTGGCATGCAGACCACTTGCCTGCTCTGGGTATCACCAGCTGCCACTTGGATGGCAGGTCCTGACTCCTTACATCAGAGAGAAAAGGGGACGTGGGGCTTKGCACATGGAGACAGCAGATCTATGGGTCCCCTCACCAAAACTTGTTTGGAGCATGCCTGGACTGTCTGGAGTTTGTAAGCAGGCAGAACACGGKTCAGAGCTGTTGTCTCACACGCTCTCCCATTTTCTGGCTGYTGTGCTGCCASATCTGGGTCAGGCACAGCCTCTAAACCAGCACCAGGATGGAGCTGTTGGCAAACACTGCAGCCACAGCCATGGAATGTACATCACCTGTGCTCCACACCATCTCTGGACAACCACTGCCTCAATCACCTWCAAAAGGGCAGAGGAGGGGGACCTGGTGGTGATAAGAGGAGGTTTCCAAGCAGTAAAGGCTGCCCATGCCAGTCTGGGGACYAGGAAGAGACAAGGGTGACCATGACAAGACAAAGATAACTGTGTGACACATCAGAATGTGGCTGGGCTCTCTGCTGGGGACCAAGYAGGTGATGGCAGTGTCAAACAGCTGGAGGTGTCAAGCTCTGGGATGCACCAGGAAGAGGGGATGTGCCTGCCCAACCTGGAGGTCCAGGCAGGATCTGACTCCTTACACCTCCCCAGCTTGGTGACCTGCCTTACCTGCCCCGTGGACAGCCCTGCTGTGGTCCAAGGACAGTGCCACGCCAGCAGCACACTGCAGATAGAGGGCTGACCCTTCCCTCATTCAGGATGACCCTCRTGAGGGACAGTGAGGGGCTGGAACCCCACAAAGCCAATCATGGACAGCCCTCATGACCCCACAACCAGTGTGGGCAGCAAGGAGCCTGTGGGTACATAGCACATTGCAAAAGGTGCAGCTTGCCTCGGTCCCCTCCAACCCAGTCCCCACAAGGACACTGAGGGTGCCCCAGTCCCCACAAGGACACTGCGGGTGCCCCAGTCCCCACAAGGACACTGAGGGTGCCCCGGTCCCCACAAGGACACTGAGGGTGCCCCGGTCCCCACAAGGACACTGTGGGTGCCCCACAAGGACACTGGGTGCCCCAGTCCGGGCTCCCTCTGCATTGTGGATCATGGGCATCCCCAGGCCCGGGAGCRTCCCCACCCTGCACTGGCTCTGCTCCCCGTGCTCCACGCGTCGCTGCTGTCTGAATTTCCACCCAGCCCCATCTGGATCTCGTTGGGCTGCTGGCACTGAGCTCCGGGGTCGGGAGGTGCCAACACATGGAAGCCATTAGAGGGGCTGGATCGAGGTGCAGCAAGGGGGCCACGTGCAGAGTGAAGGGGGCTGTGCACAGGGTCCTGTCCCTGCTGCCCATGTCCCACGCAGCTGTCTGGATCCTCTTCTGGCACTCAGCCTCAGCATGGGTCTCTCTCAGCCCCTCCAGGCACCTGGGAGAGGGCTGATCCGTTTGGGGAGCAGCCCTGCTGCCTGTGCCCCTCCTGCAAGGCTCATTCCTGAGCTGGCTCTGCCCCCTCCCTCGGCTCAGCACCATCTGCACAGGGGTTTTGCCTGGACAGTGCCAATGACAGCATTGGCATATCCCCTTTATTGGCATTGCTGCTCCGTCCAGCCACAGCACGGGGCATTGGGGCAGAGGGAAGGGGCAGGGGACATTCTCTTGTGCCTGCTGGCGGCTGGTGGGGGGTGACAGGCAGGGATCAGYGCCCCTTGGTCTGGCACTGCTGCCCAGCACCCCCGGGAGCCTACACCCACGGTCCCCTCAACACTGGGCAGTGAAGTGGGGCTGGCTCAATGTCTTATCCCCATTTGTTTAGCAGCGCTTGGAGGTGGAGCTGGACTGTCACCCTGAGCCTGAAGTGACTCCAGCTGGCTCCTGCTGGGCTCAGGCAGTCCAACGCTCCTGGGAGCAGAGCCACTCTCCTTAGGATCCATCCTGCAACCCCAGGGTGTTGGGGGCTCCGGCAATGTCCACAGCTGTGGGGTGACCCAGGAGGCGTGGGGTCCTTGGGAGCCAGCAGAGGCATCAAGTCCCACGCGTGGGCAAGCGGGCGCAGGGAGCAGGGATCGGCCAGGGCTCACTACRGGATCTGAGCTTCTGCCGAGAGAGAGGACAGGGGGTCAAGGGAGACGCTGGGGACACGGACCTGCCCCACACTCTGCACTCTCTGCCCCACATGACTTCCCAGCACTGCACCTGACTCACTTGGTAGTGCCTTCAAGTGGGTCGCAGCAACCAGAAAGTTGGGTTTGGTCTTGTCCTTGCCATGTTTCCTCACCCGGAGCCTGGGGATGAGAGCRATGGTGGCTGAAGGCCCCGAGCAGCACCCCCAAACATTGGGATTGCCCACATTCCCAGAGATCCTGCTCTGTGTTCCCATCCAGCTCTGCCCWAGTGTGCCCAGCTCACCTTAACCTCTCCAGTGGGTCAGCTTGAGGGCTACAGCAGGAACTGGTCACAAGACAGAGTTGGGCTGGGATGGGAACAGGGACTGACAGCAGACCCAGAGCCTTGCATGGAACCCCATGGTGGCAGGATGAGAYGGGACCCAGGGACAGGACTCCCAGGGGGCAAAGACACAGGGAGAGCTGTCTGTGGTGACTCTGGAGCATGAGAATCCCCATAAAACGAGAGCCTTTGGGGGGATATTAGTAGCAGCAGCACCTTGAGGCAATTCCAAGAAAGCTCYCTTGGATTTGGGCTCATCAGAGAAACCCCAGGCAGGCTCTGGGTATTCTGGGAAGAGGCACTGGTGTGGCACAGGGGCAGGGTGAGCAAAAACACCCCACAGGGCATCARGTCTGTTTTGGCAGGGACCCCAGAGCAGGGCTGGGGGATCACAGGGCACTCCATGCTGAGGGTTCAGGGTGGCATGGGGACAGCAATCATACAGCCCCTCCTTCACAAAACCCAGCCCTACCAGATGAGGATGGTGATGACGAGAACAGCAGCCAGGACGAAGAAGGCAAAGATCCCGAGGGACACCAGGACGGCCACCTTCTCCAAGGGGTCGCTGCGATCTGGGACAGAGAACTTGTCACAGCCTAGGGATGCCACAGTCCCCAGCACCTGGGGGACCCTGTGGCAAGCTCCTGGACAGTCCAGCAGCCCAGCCACACACAGGTATGTGGCTCCTTGCCATTGTTCTCAGCCACACACATGGCACTCCTGCCCAGCACCCCCAGCTCTACTCACTGATGGGCTCAGGGTTGGGAGCCTGGGAGGGCTCCTCAGCCAGGCTGTCCAGTCTGGCATCTGTAGTGGTTTCTTCACTTGCTGTGGAGGCCAGGTCTGGAAGGAYAGAAGGGATGGAAACACTCACCAAAACCACGTGCAGCACCTCAGGGACCCGCAGGGAGGAGCAAGGAACGGAATCCTCGTGCCCCAGAGGTCCCATGAGCCCAAGGCGCCACCRAGGTTCTAATGGTGCTCTGGGAACCCCTCCCTGTCCCCAGCCTGTGGGGAGCAATTCCCAAATGGTGCCAGCACAGCAGTAGACTGACATGGGCTGGGAGATGTTTTGCCCTCCTGCAGCTCTGCCTCCCAGCTCTCAGTGGCCCTGCAGCTGAGGCTCCGGTGTTTGGGGGAATGGCTGAAGAGGGGCAGCTCAGGGTGCTGCCGAAACTCTGGGGAGGGATGGCACAAGGTGGTAGCTCCTGGGGGCTGCAGCCTGCTCCCCTCTCACCTCTCACTGGTGTTGCCCGTGCCTCGGCACTCCACTCGCTCCAATTCCCCGCATCCAGGAAATCCTTRGCGCTGACTTGGACCACGTGCTCCAGCCCGGCGAAGGCGTCCGTGATAACCTCAGACAGATTCACCGTCTCCACCTGTGCCAGGCAGAGGGGAGCTGTGGGGTAGTGGGGAGCATCCCTCACTGCCCYCCCTGGCCCCATGCACACCCTGCTCCTGTGCTGGCCCTGCTGTCCTTGCACACTCACCACAGACCAGGAGCGGTGGATGAYGGGTCGGTACTGGAGCCGAAACCTCAGCTGGAAGTGGGGCTCCTTGGGCCAGGAGGAAGGGTACTGCCAGCTSACATGGAGCCGGCGTGGGGCCAGGGGGATGGGCTCTACCACCAAGCCCTCGGGAGGGTCCGGCTTAACTGTGAGAGAGAGGACAGGAAGGTCCTGTCACCCTGCACAGGGGTGTTGTGTTCCCTGCTGTCACCCACGGGTAACTGCCCAGGGGTGGACAGACAGATGGGCRCATGGGGACTCACTGATGGCCTGCATGGTGACATCAAGGAGGCGGTAGTTGAAGCCCAGAGGGTTCACCTCGGTGATGTTGAGGCGGTAGGAGCTCCAGAACTCTGACYTGTGGACGGTGCAGGTGCCGGGGCGGGACAGATCCTGCAGGCACAGCCCCACGTGCCCGTTCTTGTTCCTGCAGACAGGGAGGGAATGTCACAGGGTGGTGACATTYCACAATGCACAGATTCCAAATGCTGCCATGGGAGACCCCGCTGCCAAGATCCTGGTGGAGGGGGAGCCCCTCTTGCTCAGCTGCACTCACCCTTCCAGAGCCTGGAATGACCCTCTGAACAGGGACCTCATCCCAGCTCTGTGCTGGGAAGGTCCCTCCCTGAGGCAAACCCTTCTCCCAGACTCCCAGGTTTGGGTGTCTGGCTCCCTGATGGGGACCCCCAGCTCTTGCTTTGGGGTCTCTGCTCAAGGCAGCAGCAGAGCCTTTGGGATGGGGTCAGAATGTGGTCATTCCCTGGGGTCAGTCCCTGGGATCAGTCCCTATGGTCAGTCCCTGGGGTCAATCCCTGTGGTCAGTCCCTGGGGCCAGTCCCTGTGGTCAGTCCCTGTGGTCAGTCCCAGTGGTCAGTCCCTGTGGTCAGTCCCTGTGGTCAGTCCCAGTGGTCAGTCCCTGGGGCCAGTCCCTGTGGTCAGTCCCTGGGGTCAGTCCCTGGGGTCAGTCCCTGGGGTCAGTCCCTGGGGAGCCAGACCAGGGTGGGAGTCAGCCCTACCTCCGCTTTTCTTCGCCTGTCAGAGATTTCTTCCTGCCAGGGAAACAGAGGAAAAGCAGATGATAAGAATGAAGGGCAGCACCAAGTGAACCCCACCATGGCCCAGAGGAGGCACAGGGGTCCACACTGCAAAGCAGCCCCTCACTCCCACGCTGACATACACCTGTGACAGCATGGGGGACAGGGCTAAAACCATGTCCAGCTCTTCTAGTGAACAGCCTGGCAGCTGGAGCTGGGGGTGCAAAGAAAAGAAATGGGACCCCCTTCCCTGCCTGGGGTTTCACCACACAGCAGCAAAGACACAGAGACACTGTCAAAAGCAGCTCCCCAGGGTTTGGCTGCACRCTCCCCCTACAGCCCCCCAAATCCYCTGCTTCCACTCCCTCTCCCTGTGGAGCCCCTGATGCTCCACTCAGCCCCCTCCTCACCAAGCCCTCGGCTCCTGCAGCTTTCAGCAGGGCTGTGCTTTATGAGCTCCRTTAGACTTCAAAGCCGCCCGCTAATTTGGCTTGCAGGGATAATTAGAAGCAGTGATGCTGTCAGGGCTCCTTTCATCCCAAAGCATGCCRGAGCGAGGAGGCTTGCAGATGACCTGCTTCTCTTTTTTGCCCCTCTGGTGCTGGCAGAGCTGTCAGCAGGGAGGGAACCTGCCTCTGCCAGCCCCTCAGTGCTGCTGAAGCCCCCACTTAGAGCAAGCAAATGCTTGGTGCTCTGCTCACCCCAAAACAGGACCTATTCAGGGGTGCAGCATGATTCTTGGGGCAGGAGGTTAACCCAGGGCCTGTGTGGGATGGCCAGCTGGATTTGGTGGTTACCCWTGGCTGTGACTCAGCACTCACACTGTGACACCCCCAATCCATGCCCTGTGGGGTCACTTTACCTGTATGTGGTGATGTATCTGGTGGGGAGGAAGGTCTCCACAGTGGAGGTCCAGGAGCAAGAGAAATTCTCGTAGTCAGATGCTCTGCAGGACACAAAGGGGACTCCAGGCAGGTCTGGGGTCCGGGGAAAGCAACAGTCAGCGAGGGGTCCCCCATCCTGCAGCCCATCCCCACACAGGGGATGTGTCAACACAAAGGCCCCTTCTGGCAGGGGTGCAAGCACCACAGTCCCCCCAGCCCACAGACACGCTACTCACGCCCCAGACGCAGGGACACAGTGTGCAGGAGGCCACCGTCCTCGCCATGGCAGCTGTAKGTGCCCACGGAGGCCAGGCTGGCCCTTGGCAGCACCAGGGCTCCCTGCTGGATGGCCGAGCCCTCCGGCAGTGCCGCGGCTCCTGCTCGGCTCCACTGCACCGGCGAGCTGAGGAGGAGAGACCAGGCGGGCTGCCTTAGAGCACAGGGGTGGCAGGTCACCCCAGGGCCACCCTGTGTGGAGAATAAATCCCTCGGTGTGCACGGAAAAGACTTACCCAGCAGGRGCACCAGGGCAGGAGAGGGTCACGTCTGTCCCCAGCTGTCCATACTGCACACCTGGAGAGGACACACATCCCCAGATGGGCAGTGGCACTCCAGGCCAGCCCACGCCAGGGCTGGGGGTGCAGGTGGGCAGCCCTGGGGCTGTGCCCTGCAGKGGACACTGGCTGGGAAATCCTGCTTCATGCAGGTACCACCATGGGGGACAGCAAGGACAGGGCTGGGCAATGAGCAGACACAGGGCGGCGCTGGCCAGAGCTGGCCATCACTGCAGCCCTGGTAGATCTGTTCCTGTCTGTGGGAATGGGGTGCCCTCAAGGTCCTCATGCCTGGGACACGTGGGGGCTGTATGGGGGCTCGGTGCAGGGCTCACCTTCCTCTCCCCAGTCTTCAGGGATGGCAAGCGAGGCTGACGCCAGGGCTGCTGCAAGGAACACCATCACCCTGCCCAGGCCTGGGATGGAACTGTGCATCTGGAGGAGGCACAGAAGGGAAGGAGGGGTGTTATTCCCTGCACTGGGGCAGCTGACACAGTCCACAGCCCACGGCATTCCTGCAGGGCCGTGGATCCTGTATCTCCCTCTCATCCCATCCTGCTGTGGACAGCACAGGGGTCAAATCCTGGGACCCCAGCTGGGACATCTGGCAGTGTCTGTGTCACAGTCACAGCTGGTTCCTGGCTGCTGAGCAGMCCCCGTGCCTGGAGTGGAGACACAGAGGGCAAACACTGACCAGGAGCTCAGGGCTGTGTKGGTTGGCAAGATTAAGGGTTCTTTGCCATTGCAATCTGTGCAGAGGGACTTGGCTGGTTCCCAGACCCGGGGTGGTCCAGAGACCTGTGCACGTGCAGCTGGAGTGGGAAGGAGGAGAAATGCTGTATTTATATGGCAGGTGACAGCAATCACATCTGAAGAGGCTCACACAGCCAGGGAGAACAGGGCTGTGATAGCTGATTTTGTACCAAGCCTCACATCACTGCCCATGCCTGCACCCTGGGTGACCCTGGCCCATGGAKGTCTCCATTTGTGGGACAATGGCCCTGAAATCCCTCCCTCCCACTCAGAGAACACCAGCGGGACTGGGGTGAGAGGGGTGGGGGATGCAGGTCAGGGGTGTGCTCCCTGCTCTCTCTCCATGGGTCAAGCCCTGCCAAACACTGGAGTCCCCCTGCCAGCATCACCCTCTCCATCCCAGCCCACACTACTGTGCCAGTGTCACCCTGGTCAGGGCCACTGTGGCTCTGTCCTGCCCTGCCACCATYACCCTGTCCAGCAGTGCCCTGTCTGTGCCAGCCAGCACTGCCCTAAAGCATCTGGTCCCACCTGCACAGTCCTGCATCAGCAGGACATACCAGGCAGTGTCACCCTGTCCATCCCAGCCATGTCACTCTGTCTATGCCAGCCAGCATCACACCAGGGCATCATCCCGCTGTCCCTGTCAGCAGCCCCACTCTGCCTCTATCAGCCAGAAATGAGGCATTTCTCCCTAGAATAMCCCCCTGCCCACCCCTCACAGATGGACAGACCTGTTTATTTACATCCACACCTTTGGGCTCTGCTCCCAGCTGCAGGCAGGGGCTGAGGGCACGTAAGGCACTGAGCTCCTGGTCAGCCAGGAGGGCAGGCATAAATCTGTGTCGCTGAGGGTTCAACAGCTGAGAGACTGGAGGCAGGGATGCTCCAGCCCAGAAAAGGCACCCCAGAGCAGCAGCTGGTTCCCCTCCTGTGGYTGACTGCCCATGGCCACACACCAAACCGCCTGGCAGAGGAAACAAGAGCTCCAAGGCGATCTGCTGCAGGGGGGAGGCGTGCGGCACCCCACATCAACCCTGTTCCGAACATGCCAGGCGGCCTCAGACACAAGCCCCAAACGTAAATAATTTCATGAGACTGTCATAAGCTTTTCCTACCAAACCACCCCAGAAATGTTCCCAAGAAATATCAGTTGAAAGATCTCTGCCAGAACTATGCTGGTAAGTAACTGGGAACACTTGGCCTAGAAGTGAAATATTTTGGCGACGGGAAAAAAAAAAAAAAGAAGAAGACAAAAAAGAGTGTATTTTGTCTTAAAAGCAGCAACCAAAAATAACTCCACAAACCACGTGGGCCTGAGTGAAGGAATAGTTCTGGGGTGTGCAGGGGGAGGGGGGAAGTGGGWGTATGTGTGTGTCAAGAAGAACAGAGAGAGTGTTAATATACAGAGAGAAAAATAGCTTTAAAATAAAATAATTTCTTCTCCTGACCACCCTGGTTTTTCATTCAAATGCTGCTACATCTCCATAATTACCCCAGTGGTTCAGTCTAGTTTGGGATCACTAACATAAAACCTAGCGGTCCCTAACTTTAACCCTAAACCTAACCCCAACACTGCTCATCCTGAGGGCCAGCCCACATCCTCCACCCTTCATCACCAAGGGTCCTCCCAGGCTCCTCATCCTCATCCCAGCACCCCACGAGCTCCCCTGCCTCAAAGGGGCAGCCCTGCCAGCACAGTGGGGGAAAGCAGCACTGAGCCCCTCCAGGCAGACACCAGCTCAGTGAATGACCCACATTAGCACTGCCAAAACCYACCCCTGACAGCATCACTGCCGAGAGAAGCAGCAGGGCAAGAAGCCCTTCCTTGCCTGCCCAAAGCCTACAAAAAACAGGGGAAGGAGCCACAGAAATGGGGAAGACCCAGAGCCCTGCAGCAGCAGGGCAGGGGGCCAGCAAGATAGCCTGCCCAGAAAGGATCCCCTCATTTTCCCCCACCAAACTCCCTGGCCAAGGGAAAAACAGGCGTGCAAATGAACACACGCGTGTGAGTGGCCAGGCCACCTTCCTTGGCGGATCCACACCCCCACAGATGGCACACAGGCAGAGAAAACATCCCTTGATGCTTTGACACATTCTGGGGACACACAGTCCCGGCGCAGTGGTCCTGGAGCCAAGTCGGGGCAGAAGGAACAATCAGAGCTTTTCTTCCTCCCTGCGTGCTAATCCTGGCTGGAGAGACGCCTGCCGCCAGCCSGGGGCTGTGACATCCCGAAGCCACGGCCAGGGTAGAGGGACCCAGCTCAGCCCAGGGGTGTGGTTTGGCCCCGGCAGGAAGGGCAGCAGTGCYGGACCCTGCTCCCTCAGCTCGGGTGATGCTCTGGTCACTGGCAGGGCCAGGGTGACCAGGCACTCTGTGCCACCCGTGAATATCAGCCACAAGTGCAAAGTGTCACTCTGAATCCCCCCGATCCTGCTGTTTTCATTTGAGATCATGAAAAGGTTTTTGAGCAGTGGTGGGGAGAAATCCTGCCACGCAAACTGAAGCGCTGTAACCCAGAACTTCCCTCAAAATCATGGCCGTGTGCACTGGCACCAATGTCCACGTCGGGTGTGACAGTTCCCTCGGCACAGCTGCTCCGTGCCATGCCCTGCCGTGGCCTGGCAAAGCCCAGMACAGATTCCTGGGGGAAGCCAACTTTCCATTGTGCTCGGTGCTTTGAAAGACAGTGGGTTTTGTCTTCTTAGYGTCTTTTTTTGTTTTGCTTCATTTGAAGTTGCTCTTCAAAGCAAATGGGCCGCACACAGAGCTGGGAYGGTGGGGACGGGGACAGAAGCAGATGACACTGTGCCTCAGGGCTGCACATGGCAGCGTGGAGGTGTGGGACGCTCCCCACRGAGCACAGAAAGCTGGGGTGCCTCCTAAGCTCTTCCCAGGGTGGTCAGGGTCAGCACTGTCACAATAAAGCAAACAACCCAAGAGCACTTGGCAGCTCTGCCTGCCCTGTGCCAGGCCCTGACAGTGTCACCCACCTCCAAATAGCAATGGGTAAAGACCCAAAGCCAGCTCTAGTGCCCCAGAGATGGCATCACTGTGTACTCCTGCTCCTGAGCTGGGGCAGCATCCCCAGCTGGCCCTGAGCCACAAACCCTCCTCTCTGCCAGTGGCTGCTGTAGGAAATCAGTGCCACGCTGAAATGCAGCSTTTCAAAGCAGCAGGAATTCCCCCGTCCGTGTTTCCCTGCGGGGTTGGGAGCAGCGCCTTGCTAATCCCTCCTGGCAGGCCTGGAGAAGCACCGTGCCCTGCTCTGAGGAGCTGTGGCAGGGTCTGAGTACATCCCTGTGGCCATGGATCAGCCCAGGGATGACTCCACTTTGGTCATCACTGCACGAACATGCACCTGTGAGGTGGGGGAGCATCACCCCCACTGCTGGGTGATCCCCTGCAACAGCCACCCTTGTCCCTGAATGCTGCTGGCCTCCTCTCTGGGTGCCCAGAGGAAGCCCAGCAGTGAGTCCTGGTGGGAAATATGTCCCCCACCACCTCCAGGACCACCAGGGCCATGCACAATCTCCAGGCAACGCTTTGCCCACCTTGGGCCCTGCAGGGGTGATGCTCTGTGCACTGTCCCCAGCCCCCTCCAGTRCTTTGGGCACCTCAGAAAGGGCTGTTTTCCTCTGCACCACTTTTTGGGGGTACATGGSCCCCCYKGSYKSTGTGGGGGGTGCCATGCCATGYTGGGCTGTGCCAGAACACACACATGCACAGCTGCAGCCAGTGCAACCCCAGCACGCTGGAATTACCCCAGTTAAACCAGTAAAACCAGTTGGAGTCTTTCCTTGTAAGGCCAGTGCAGCCCAATAAGCCTAGTGCACAGTCTGYACATAGGACTGAGCACAGTATAGTCCCGACATGGGGCTTAACTCAGAGCAACCCAAATATGGGATTATACCCCACACAGCCCAGGAGAATTAAACCCCACACAGCCCAGGAGGAGAATTAAATCCAGTGTGGTTAAACYCAGCCCAGCCCAGGAGCGGGGTTAAACTCAGCTCAGCAAAAATGAGAGGCTGGACATAGCACAGGTCAAGCATGTGGTTATGGCATCCTAATGTGGGGTTAAACTCGGCACAACTCGGGAGTGGGGTTAACCCACAGTTCAGTACAAACACAGGGCTAACCCAACCTCAGCATAGCTCAAACACAGCCTGACACAGTGCAAATGTRAGGCTAAAACAAATGCAGCCCAGGAATGGGGTTAAACCCTGCTCAGCCCAAACACAGGGATAAACAAAGCATCGTTCAGGGAACCAGTTATCTCCAGAGCCAGACACAGTGCACGCATCCATCCAACCTCGATCAATCCCCTCCAACACCCACTGCTGACACCTGGCTGACCACAGCCCCACCGGTGTCCAAAGCCAAGCCCAAACCCCTCCACAACCCGAGGGTCACCTCTCTCCTCTGTGGACCTGCAGCTTCCAGGGATGCCCCTACACCCCTCAGCATGCCAGCAGCACCATGGCAGTCAGGCTCTGCTCTTACCCCAGCCGGGAAACTCCCACCCCAATGCCCTGATTTCCGCTCTCCTCCGCTCCATCCTGCGGGAAGAAGTCTCTGGCTCCCGGTTGTAACTGGAGGCATCGGCAAGGGCCAAAACAGCGAGGGCTCTGTTAGCAGCCAGCAGCCCTGACATGGTGCCAGCTGGCAGCACTGCATT